TCTTTCCTTCTCCCATCGCTCACAGCTGATGGTTCTGGAAGTGCACCTCAGGTGCTGATCTGTCTGTCAGCCCCAGCCTTACAGTCCCCATCTCTGCCTCTGCCTGCTGGAGACAGAAGACGGGAGATGAGCTTCTGCAGAGTTGAGGATATCTGCTCTGTAGGGGCAAGACTGATCCTCACGGGGCTTAACATGTGTCATTAATTTTTTCTCACAAAACCCTCACTTTGGGTACAACTGTCCTGACAGAGCTGAATCAGCCGTCTTCAGCTTCAAGGTCTCCTGTTGATGATTTCTGATTTAGTCCATACTTGAAAAAGGCCCTTTAGATTTAAAATACCAGAGTTTTGCCACTGGACTCAAATGATACATAAAATTAAACCCATACTTCTACCATAGCACTAGCCTACACTGTTATTTGGACTGAGGAGAACTAAAAAATTTCCTCCATCTCTAACCAACATGTTGGCATTTTGTGTCCTGAACACTGAATTCATTTGAAGGATTTCAGGGTATTTTTGCTCTGACTTAGATAACTAACTTGCTATCTCAGCATTGGCAAGGTTCATTTAGAAGCTACTAGAGCACATGTGTTAATACATGGAGTGAGAGGACGTGTTGTAAACCCATTTGTTTTCCTGTGTTTTTATTTTTGAAGTATTCCTTCTTTCCTACCCTGCATAAGTAAATAGCAAGAGCTTGTTTTCAGGCTAAGACTCAAAAATAAGGCTTAAAAATAATAAAAAAAAAAAAATTACTGTTTAATTGTGTTGCCATTTAGAGATCAAAACTCAAGTCCAAACACTTTGTTTAAAGTCATCAGGTAAAGTCCTTAACAGACACAAAACTGTTTGCTGTAAAAGTTTTGTGCTGTCAACTAAGCAAGAATTTTGGACTTAAGAAATCACCACCTCATAGAGAAGAATAACAGGCAGAAAGAAACTGAACAAACATGAGTGGAAGGACAAAACGTCAAGTTAGAAGTCTAAATTTACCAGTTGGCTTATTCAGCGCTACAAACTTTTTGGCACTAATGGTAGATGTCAATCTATACAGGAGGTGATATATACTTGGTTAAACACTTGGAATTTCATATCACAGGATGCAAATACGAAATACCACCATATGTGACTTACTCGTGTTACTCATTGCACAAGCAGAAGGAAAAACATTACTTAAGTGCTAAATTAAGTACTGTGATAACTAGAAAGCATTTGGCCAATATGTAACCACAGTAACAGCACATCTGAACTCAGATAATAGCGTTGCTCAAGATAATACTCTCTGAAGTAATAGACTCCGCTCCTAAAGAATCATACTAAGTTTTCAGCTCCTCTGCTATTTCCATTATAATCACATTTCTGAAAGTCATAGAATCCTGAGTTATGATGGAAATTAGATGTTTCTATGACACATCCTTTCATCTCCTAGATCTATGTCAAAACTCTGGCAATATCCCTACTATTAGATTCATGCCCTACCATTGGCAGCACAGCTACAGGAAAGTGTCTCCCATGCTCGGAAACACGAGGCTAAAAACCAAACAAAAACTCACCACCATGTGGAACAGATATTATACCTGCTTATACCTATATGGCAGGCCATTCTAGTGCAGCTCTCTTCAAGCAAAATCATCACTGACATCAACCAAAATAGGCCATGGATTTCAGACTGCAAGTCTTTACGCTTCTCTGCATTTAACTTACAGACAGAAATGGAGAAAGGGAAAGTCTGTTGGTCTAAAGATACACCCCAGGGCTTCTTCCCTCTCTCTGTCTCCTGAGGTTTTGCAGACACTTGTTTGTGACCAAAGGTGCAGCCTTCCTACCCCAACACAGCTGCTATTCTGTTTCCCGACACTCCTCTCCCTCAAAGAGTCACAGAAACCAGCTACATCCTTTCTTTTTGTGCTGTGCAGATTTCTGAAACAAACCAAGTCCTAGGAGATTGCTTCAAAGCTCTGAAAAAATTTAATGACTAAATTCTACAGGGTCTCATTACAGTCCACTGCAGGAAACCCCAAAAGTTTTGTTTTGTGGGGTTTATTTCCAAATCCCTGGGGAATAGTTCCCCAAACAGACAGACAGACACACAAGATCCCTTTGCTCAGCACAACGTGCTGAATAGCATTCTGGGTTTAATATGATGTCATTACTAATTAGGGCTTCATGAGAACCACAAACTGATCTCAGATTTTCCTGGGCTTAGAGATCATGCAGGAGGAAAAAAAAACCTGAACATAAGCATTTCTGTCAAGCATAATGAAAGAGGACAGCTTTTTTGGCCACCTCATCATGTAATAAAGAGATTTTCCCCTGTTGTTAAAAATGGTGGGTTTAACTGATTATTCATGGAGAATATCATGTCATAGATGTAACAGGCAATAATAGCAGATTAGGAAAAGGACTAATTTAGGAAAGAATGTCTAGCAGTCCAAAATCTACTAGGCACAGCATATCGTCCTAAGGAAAGGGACGGAAGAAGCTCTGCTCACATCTTTCCAACCTTGGCAGAGGAAAGCATGAGACAATCAAAGCTGGGGAGAACCTACAGTATTTATATGAAAGACTCCAATAATACCACTTTGTAAGTCTTTCATCCTACAGGCCAGTGCTTGAAAATTTGGGATATAGGCCTCCACAGTATTACCTTCAGCCCCAGGAAACGCATGACCGGAAGCTGCTTCAATCAAGGCAAGGGCTTACAAACACGTGGATGTAGATACTTGGCAATGTGCCACCCAGGCAACATGGCGATGGGATAGAGGAGAGAAAGGGGGAATTGCAGTCCCAGGAAAAATGAAACAAAGGTCTAGGTCAGCTCCAAGGCTGCAGAAAAGGGAGAGAGAACACTAGAAGCAACACACACTAAAGTTGAAGAAAAATAGTCAGAAAAAAAGGAGATACAGTGAAAGGAGCCATGAGCCACGACGTGAGCTTTCTAAGCACCAAGGGAGAGCACACTGAATGATTTTTCAAGCACAGCATTTTGCGTGCCAGGGCTAGAACAGAAGCTGTCAAGTTGTACCATCGTACCATCGACATGAGAGCTGGCAGATTCCTAACTGCCAAGTTAGAAAGTTGGCACATTTAACCATCCAAAAGCCAGGGGGGGTTTCTTGATGAATAAAAGCAGAATAACAAACATTAGAAGGTATGTCAGAAAGTCCTCAGCAAGCCCACTGAAGTGCTGCTGATATCTAACCAGCCACCACTTCAGTAACTCGCAAGAACAGCTGCAACAGACCTGCCGGGCCAACGCTACAAAGGCAGCAGCGAGGCTCAGGAGACAGCACCATTGCTGATCGATATTAATCTCACGCTCTGCCCTCAAACGAACGCTGACTGCAGCAGGCCACACTGTTTAAAGCACGGAAATGACAGCGTGGGAGCAGGTGAGTGCGTGGCAACAGCGACGGAGAGAAGCAAATGCACCTGCAGAGGCACATGGCAAAGCTGTGTTCTTGGCTATGGCAGGAGATACAGCAGCACAGATGATAAACCAGATCATCTCTGAGGAAGTTGGAACATAGTGGTGCTCCTTACATCCTGAAACACTTCCAGCAGTTCAAAATGATACGAGTCAGTAACACCAAGGAGCAGAACTCAGTCATCAGAGGCTACTAGAAATTTTGCTGGCAGCCTGGCAAAAATGAAAGGTGGGTCAAAACACACACAGTGCTGACACTACCACTCAGATGCTAAGAACTCTAGCCCGTTCTCCTTCTGCTTTAGGTATTTTTCTCCGCAAAGCATTCAGCTGAGACAAGCTACTAATTTTACAGGCTTTCCACAAGTTAGACTTAAACACTTGGATTATTTGGCTTTATTTTCTGTGGTGACAGTATTCCAGTGTTCCAAACCTCATCTTCTTTAGAAAGCTCCACATCAGACTGCTTTTTCTCTGCTATTGGTTCCAGAAGTCATTCGATGCCACTGCTGTAGTAAGCTAGCCAGCATTCTGCTTTCAATATTATTCAATCTTCATGCAATTAATGCAGCCAATGACTGCCAACAAAAAATGCAACCGTTAATTTCTTGAGGTTGTTTGTTTTGCTTAACAGTATTTGCACATTTTGTAGTGAGCACAAATATGCATTTTATAACAAATGACCTAGTTCCTCCCTTCTGTTAAACCATGAACTTGCAGTTTAATCAGACATTCTTGTCTGATGCAAATCTTTGTTCTGTTGCCTGCACAGTTTAAATATTTTGTAACTTCTGTATTTGACCAATTT